AAATGCTTCATGAATATGTGTGTCATCCTTGCGCAAGGGTGATGCTAATCTTCTCTGTATCAGTCCAATTTTCATTTATTTATTTATTATCCTTTCAATTTTAGTATACGTGCTGCCAAAATGAGCACCTCACGACTCTTTTAAACTTTATCCTGTACTCCTCGGCCCTCCTCTTTCTCATGGCGTGGCATTCTGGACCTTCATCATCTTTATATCTTGAGTTCCAAGCCTGTATCTTCAGTTCAAACCCTTTCTAAAGCTTCAGTGTCACATTTCCCACTTCCCCTGTTTTGGATGACCCCATCCCTTCAATCTCTGTGTACCCAACCACAATCAGTTTCTTTCTTCCCTGACTTCCCTATTTCAAAGAATCACAGAGGGTGTTTGCTATTGAAAGGATCCTCTTAGAAATCTAGTGCAAACCCTCTTGTTTTGTAAAAATGAGACCAGTCAACAAAGCACACCAGATTTTTGCCCTTCCCCTCGGTTCCACATCACCTTCCCAATCCCCTGTCCCCAAAGCTATTCCCTTAGTCTAGAACACATTCTCCTCTTCATTTAGCCAAATACTACTGGTACTTCTAGTTCCAATATCCTCAACAGGAACTTTCTTAATGACTCCAAACAAAGTGCTCTTCCCCTTCTGAGGCTTGTAACCCTTGTCTGAGACACATACTGCCTTAGTTTGTAATCATGTTTGCACGCTCACAAACTTTCATAAGGAACTGTAGTAGCTTTATCTTCATTGCTCTTAACTTTGTGGGAGCTACTATTCCAGGAACTTTTCATACAATAATTTATTTACTCTTCACAACAGTTATTGAGGCAGGTGTTAATATTATATCCATTTTGGAGGAGCAGGAAACCCACTTGGGGAGGTGATTTGCCCAACATCACATAGGCAGTAACCTCAAGTCCCTGTCTTTAACCTTTATACAGGGTGGAGCAAACGTAGGCTTACAGTTGTTCTTATGGAAAATAGTGCAATAATTAATACGAATAATACAAGAATAAACTGTTTCGCATACTCACAACTGAAAAACTACTTTTGCCAAACCCTATACTCTGCCATCTATACCACCTTCTGTGAATATTTTTGTATCTTTGCATCTCTGCAGGTCTTGGCTCTAAAGCCTTATTCCAATGTTTTTCTAAGTGTGACCTCAGGATTCCACCTCCCTGCTTGCTCACAGCAATGTAGATTTCTGTCCCTGACCTCCTGCATTGGGGTTTTGGAGGTAGTTAAATTCTAAAAACACCCTCAGGTTTGAAAATCTCTGCCTGAACAAAATAGGCTTTAGAGGATTTAATGACTGAACGGAGTCAGTTGACTCCAGCTCAGATCGAAGGTATTGCAGTACCAAGTAAGGACAAACGGAGGACACATATGTGCACTGGCATCATAGACTTGCAGCTCCTGCCTGCCATGGGTCATGGGATGCTATGGACCCGTCAGAGATTCAGATCTTTGCTCTTTTCCTCCTCTGCCTATCTCAGTCTCTCCAAACCCTGGCTACTTCTTCCTGGATAATTTACTGCCTCTTGAGGCATCAATATGTGTACTCAGATTACTTCAAAGTACTCCACTTGGGAAGCTTTCTTCTTTTATCAATCCCTCCTGTCTGTCACCTTTCAATAGGATGAATCTGTATCCTAGGTGTGGCTTGTTAAATGGCTTAAATAACACTAGTCATTTGGGGAGAAAATACTTGCAAATTACATATCTGATAAGGTTAATATACAGAATATATAGAGAACTCCTAAAAAAAATCCAATTAAAAACTGGGCAAAGAACTTGAATAGCCATTTCTCCAAAGAAAAAACACAAATGGTCAATAAGCACATGAAAAGATGCTCAATATCACTAATCATTAGATTTGGTGCCAAAACCACAACACCTACCACCTCACATCTGTTAGGATAATTACTATTAAAAAATAAAAAAAAGTGGCCCTGGCCAGGAAGCTCAGTTGGTTAGAGAGTCATCCTGATATGCCAAGGTTGCAGGTTCAGTCCCCAGTCAGGGCATATACAAGAAGCAACCGACGAAGGCACGCATGCATGAATGGGTGGAAAAACAAATCAATGTCTCTCGAAAAACCAATACATTTTTAAAAATGGCAAAGATAATAAATTAAGATAACATGTATATTTTACTACAATAAAAATAATTGGGGGAAAACGATAGCAGCTAACATGCTCATAGAATGCTTACCATGCAGCAAGCACGGGTCCAAACACTCCACATGTGATAACTCACTACAAAAAAACGCTAATCATTTACTGAGCACTTACTATTGCTCGCAACAATCCAATGAAGCAGGCGGTACTATTTACACCTATTTTACAGATACGGAGGCGAGGAGAGGTTAATAATTTGCCCATGGTCACAGAGCTGGAAAATGCAGGGCCAGGGTTAGAACTGAAACCTGTTGGGTGTGAGCGCCCACTTAACCATATTGCTTCCCACAGTTTAAAGGTGACCCATCACTTCCTGGGCACTGAGTCTCATTGGACACCTGGCACTGAGTCTCATTGTGTTTAATAACTCACCTGATTAGAGACTTTAAGAACATATTTACATTTCTTCCCCAAAAGAATGGTAACATTAATACAGTGGATTCCTTTGGCAGCAATTCTAAATAAAGACATTAACAAGAGCTACCCACTGGACTTAAAGTAGAAATGCCCACACCCCACGGCAACTTCAGCAGACACATTTAGATACCTCCCCTTCATCCCCCATCAAGTATCTCCCAACTGGTTATCTTATCCTTAGAAAGGAACCTCTCTCCTCTCCCTCCCTCCCATCACCTTCCAGATCTACAAAGGCATCCCCATGCCCCTTTTCTTTCTAAAGTGAATCTTCTGCAACATCCTGACCCTAGGAGCACTTTAGACAAATTCAGCGCGTCTAAGATAACTCAAGCTGTCTCAGTCCCCCTGCCCCCCAGATAGTTGCCAACAGAGGCAGGAGTTAAGCACATGCATTAACCTTTTCATGTCTAAGAGGACGACTTTCTTTTCTACACCAAGGGTTGCTTCTTGGCTGCCCCTTATTGTCCGTGCCCACATCCCCAAGTTGGGCGTATATTCTCCTAAATTCAGGAATAAAATCCTAGCTATTTCCAGACAAAGATAGAGGTAGGAGTCTATAGAAACGAGCTAGGAAGGAGCTTAAAATACTTCACATTCCAGAAACACCCTCCCTTCCCCCCAGGAGATGGCTTTATTCCCACTCCTTTCTCAGCGGAGTTGGACTCAAAGGAGCTGAAGCTTGGAGTCAGGCAGCTGGTGCTAGCTGTGTGGGCTTAGATAAATGACTGAAATGTCTCAGCTTCAGTTTGCTTATCTGTGAAATGGGGTGACACCATCCTGTTCTCCAGGTTACCATGAGGATTAAGATACGTAAAACAACCGGCATCTTATTGAGGGCCCGGGATTCATTCAAGATCTAGTAAAGGGAGAGAACTTCTACAAATGAGTCTCTTGACAAATGTCCTCAAAAAAGGATGGGAAGCCTGGCTGGTGTGGCTCAGTGGGTAAGCACCAACCTATGAACCAGGAGGTCATGGTTCAATTCCCAGTTAGGGCACCTTCCCTGGGTTGCAGGCTCGATCCCCAGTGTGGGGTGTGCAGGAGGCAGCCAATCAAAATGATTCTCTCTCATCATTGATATTTCTCTCTCCCCTTTCCTCTCTGAAATCAACTATACACACACACACACACACACACACACACACACACACACACACATTTTAAAGGATGGGAACAGCCCTAGCCAGTTTGGCTCGGTGGATAGAGCTTCAGCCCACGGACTGAAGGGTCTCAGGTTCTATTATGGTCAAGGGCACATACCACATTTGCAGGCTTGGTCCGGCACTGGTCTGGGTGTGTGTAGAAGGCAACCAATTGATGTGTCTTTTTCACATCAATATTTCTGTCTGTCTCTCCCCTTCCCTTCCACTCTCTAAAAATCAATGGAAAAATATCCTTTGGCGAGGATTAACAACTAAAAGGATGGGAACAGAGTTGACATTAACTAAAAGGAAAATTAAGGGGCTGGTTATGGAACATATGCATCACTTCATCCCAGTAAGTGGCAGGCACAATGACGCCCCCCCCCACCGCCCCCCGATGGAATTTCATGTTTACCTCCTCCACGCACCCCATGCGAACAAAACAAGCTGATCATTACTATGCTGTGGGGAAGACTTCTGGCTTCGGAGATATTCAGAGGTGGTTTCAAATCCCAATCATTGACTTACCAGCTGTGTAACTTTGGGCAGTTTTGTTTCACTCTTAGAACCTGTTTCCTCTTCTGTAGTCCTGGTTGGTGTGGCATAATATGAAGAAGTAAGCTTAGGCATAGGCAGTACTCTATCAGGAAGAGCTATTATTAAGTTCTCTCCTCTTGCATTTACAGCAACTTTATAAGAACTATGGGAGGAAAAGGGAGTCTTCATTCTCTTTCATTAAATCCAGGAAAAAAGGGGAGGGGGGATCACATTACATCGCAAATTCACTGAGAATTTCTTAAAAAGACATCCTGCAATGCGTCATCATACCACTAACGTAAGAACAGTACCACCCTAAATACAAGGCTTTACAGTTTAGAAAGTGGTTTATCATCTACTACTTCATTGCATACCTGCCAAATCCCTGTGAAGTAGCATTTACCCCCATTTTACAGATAAGGAAACTAGGACTCAGAAAGATTAGGCTAAAGGCACAGAACAAGTGGTGGAACCTGATTTCAAGCCTTCTGAAGTACAAATTCAGCATGCTTTGCAATTCACAAGGGAATTTCGTGTTCACCAAGAGCCGAGCCTGCGTTGTTTAGACATGTCTGAAATGGCATTTCAGCAACCCAAAGTGGAATGACCAGGTGAGCAATGTGGTTAGGGAAATGCAACCCTCTGGCTCCTTTGTAGCTACCCTGAAACAGCCTTCCTTGGTTCAGGGAGAGACTCAGTTGGCATAAGCTGCCCCCACTCTGACATGTTTGAGAAAGTTTTATTAGCGGTCCCAGAAGGCAACATTTTTAAATCAGGCGATCAATAATTACAACTGAATACATAATTTCAGATAAACTTGCCTTTCAAAATAAGTCAAGACTCTCACAACAGGATAATTGCCCAAGAGCTTTTTTCTTGTACAAAAACAACACCACTTTGCAAAAGGCATACAAAAATACAGTATTAAAAAAAACACACACCAAAAACCTGCTTCCGGTACAATACCCAGCAGCAGCTCATAAAACACAAGCTATTCAGGTGAGACATCCGTAACCTATTTCCCACCCATTCTCCAAAGACAGTTCCAGAAGTCACTTGGCTGCAGAAAACCATGCTCCAAAAGCTAGAGAGACTTTCTCCAAACTTCCACTGGGGTTCTCTAGGGCCACGAAGCAACCTCAGAAACAGACTCTCGTGCATAACAGGTTTAGAAGTAGCAGGTGGCTTTCCAGAGCCACAGACAGCTCTCAACCATCCTTCCCTCCCCCACTTTCAAACCCACAGCCAGCAGAGTCCTGGAAGGGGGGCCGATCCTTTTTTCAGAATAGGCTTGGGGGCTCCTGAGGTTGCCCACAAGACACTATAGGGTTAGGTGTTTTTTATAGACTGGAGGCTGCACCTGGAAGCCACTTGGAGGCGCCAAGTCCAGCTGGGGCAAAATGCACCATGGTCCACTGAGCAGAGCCCCGACTCCGGGAAGCCAGGCCGCCTTCTGGAGCACTGGATGAGTCCCAGCAGCTCTCCCAGGAAGACCTTCAGTAAGGCCCAAGTTCTGAGACAGGGATCTGACTCATGGCAGGCTGGCAGGTGGCCCAAGGGTGGCCTCAGAGACACAAGCTCCTTGGAGCTGCACGAGGACAGGTTTGCATGGTTCTCGTAGAACTTCAAACTTATCAGTCAGGGCTTGAGATGAGAGGAAGCTGCGAAAGAGGAAATGGTACAGTTCTCACTCCTGATGTGCCTGACGACGGCCTTGAGAAAAGATTCCAAGATGGAAGACACCTGGGTAGGGAACAAGTTCACAGCCAGAACTCCGAGCCTTCCCTCGGTGAGGACCCATGTCCCTGCATCTTGGGGAAATATTTCTGACCTCTGGGAAAGGGGTGCTCTAACGCCCATTGCTAACAAAGGCAGAAGGAAACAAAAAAGTCCCTTGTGAGGACAGAATGGTCTTTCCCTCAGAGGAAAGGGCCCAGAGGGCTTTGAGACAAAGAATCTAGAGGCCAAGCTCTTTAAATGTTCTCAAGGCCGCAGCATGGAGTGGGAGGAGGGGTGTCATCTAACAATATATATGTATATATTAAAGGTTTCCAACTCCTCAGCTACTGTAAAGTGTCTGACAGTGAGGTAACGGTCCATGTTGATCAAGTCTGCGAGCTTGTCTTCACCCAAGACAGCTCGTATGTCTCCTGGAAAAAGGAGCCTCAGGGAGTGCATCCAGGCCCAGCTGTCCCAGCATCACCCCAGAGACACCAGTGGGAGCATCCCTTCCCAGCCTAAAGCTCATCCGGAGTGTGAGATTTCATGCAGGCTGGAGGCCCCGACCACGTCCACCACCTGTTGCATAGCATCTGTCAGGCTTTTCTTCAGAGCTAGTGAGCTAGGCAGACCCCAAGGCTCCTCCCTCAGCTGCCCGCCTGAGAAGCCAAAGGCGCCAGAGAAGACACAGTGCTCCCGTGAGTCAGGGAAGAGGGAGAGCTGGGTTTCCAGGTTTCCAAGAATGCAAGCCCTTATTGTGTGCACCAGCTGCAAAGCATCCTGGGATCTACTGTCCAGACTGTCCGGCCGTAACCAAAATGTGCAAATTACTAAAGGGGAGAGGGCCAGTTAAAAAATTAACTCGGGTCTTTGTAAGAGCAGTCAGGCGTTTTGGTCAGTTAGTAGCCACTGAGATACGCGATTCTTTTCTGCAGTTGCTGCTGCCGGCATCGAAGCTGCCTTTTCTCGGTAGCCATCCTCTTCTCGGCCCCCACCAGGGCCTGCAAGTATTCCAACGCTTTGCTCAGGATCACCACTTTAGGGGCCTTGGAGCAGCTGGCCAGGGTGGGTACCTGGTCCCTCAGGGCCAAGAACCTTGAACGGAGGTCATTTCGCCTTTTGCGCTCCAGGAAGTTGTGGTTCTTCCTCTTGGTCACATCCTCAGTGTCAGAGCTGACAGGTCTGGGGTGGCAGGACTGGGGAGCCTCACTTTCTATAGGCAGGGGGCTCCCAACCTCTTCGTGTACCTCATCTTCCTTTTCCTCTGGAGCATCTGTCTCCAGAGCCTCTTCTGGAGGACCTCTCTCTGGAGGCCCTTCTTGGGAACAGCTCTCAGGAGGAAAACGGGCGGCATAGTTGTGTTGTTGCTGATGGATGGAGATGTGGAAGTGTTTCATGCAGGGGTCCAAAGGGTCTGCTCGCACTGTGATGGTGACTGGCTTCCGCACACCCAGGGACTGTCTCTTCTCCACTGTCACAACATCAATTTCTTCACCCTCTGTCCAAGAAGAGAGATCAAGAGAAAAACACACCCCATGAGAAACATATACAAGGATCCTAGGCTGGGAAAGGAAGTGACATTTTTCTCATTTAGATATAAGCAAACTGAAGTGAAGGGAAAGACAGCTGATTCATTTGTAACGGGTAAGGGCAGTGTGAAGGAAAGGAAGGGAAATAAGCAAGAAGGGGAATATTCTCCAATTTCCTTTTGCACAGCAAGGCTTAGATAAGAACAAAAGGCAGGCCCAAGCCAACAGCCCCCAGTCTGCACAGGCTCTCCCCTCCCCCACTGAGAGGATGGAGAGAAAGAGCTATCAGCCTGGGACAAAGTTTAGCTATAAAGATCTTCCCCAGTCGGGCTCTTTCATGCCCCATCAGAATTGTAAATGAGGGGTCTGTGGGCAGAGTTGCCCTTTGTTCCTGCCCAGCACAGCCTGCACTTGGGGAATTGTTACTTTTCACAAGTTATAAATCCTATTATTCCCCCACCTCTCTATTCTACTATCCCTTTCAGACGAAGATTCAGAGAAGGGAGGGCTGCAAGGCATCTCTCATCTCTCCACACCCACAGAGGGGAAGGAAAGGTTTCCGTCAGGGGCATTTTGCTATCGGGTTCAATGGGTTTCTAAAGTCATCCATCATTTATAGGTTGCCTGCCCCACCCCCTTCCCTGGATCAGAATAGGGTTGGATTTGTCATTGCAGGTCGGCAAAAGCTGCAGGAACTTCACAAAGGTACAAGCGACCATTTCCACGCTACCTGTGCCAGGGGTAAGAACCGAGCAGCACAATATCCCCACGCAAGGGCTGAAAACACCAGGGACCTGGACATGCCCCATCATTCCCTGGCTTGAAGGTCTCTTAGGTTACCCCAACCAGGAGAGGGGCATTTAGGGGAAAGCCTTCCTGCTCCACGCGTTGTTCAGACCTCCACATAGAAGACCACCTAATGCATTTCAGCCTGACAACAGAAGAGCTCCGTTCTCTGTCTCTTTGGCATATCAGGAAGCTTGAGCCCCTTTGTCAGGAAGGCTTCCATTGTGTGGACAATCGCATTACTTCTCCATTAATAAAACCTGACCATTCAGCCCTCCTGGCCCCAAGGCCTGTGATTGGCTGGCTAAGCTGTGTTTGGAATGCTGTTTTACCCAGCCCCTACCCGCTATTGGCTGAGCTTTGCCATCAGTCACTCTCCCCACCCCCCTCATTGTTTGCAATCTGTTGCATTTTGTTCTGGGCCATGTGGCCTGTGAACCAGGAGCTTGCAAACAGGTTCAGGTTAAAGGGCAGGTCAGGAGATTATTCAGGAGGCTCCCCCGCATCCCAAACTTTAATATTTCAAGGTTAAAACTGGTGGCTGGGAAGGCTCGGCCTAAGGAAGAAATAACGTAAGACCACTATTCCCCTTTTCAGAGAGCAGTGTCTAACTCTACCCAGACAAGGAAATGCCCTCAGCTGGACAATCAAGGCCAAGCCCCTCATATGCCAAGGGAGAAACAGACCTAGATCACCCAAATCCACACACCACTTTGGTAACATTCTGGACCTCAAAGTAAGATCTCAAACTCCCCAAACAGTGCTCTTCCCACTCTTCCACCCCATCAGCCTTTGTAGAGATCTATCTTTACTGGTTTTTGATCTCCAAATTCCCATTCCAGCCATTAAATAAATACAAGCTCTTGGTGTAGGAAGCAAGCAGGTTAAAAATGACCTTAAACACAGTGGACTGAAAAAAGTTGACTTTTAAATTTTTCTTGTCATCCTTACTTTTTCCCTTCAAGTGTATGACGACGTCCAAACCCTATTCCCTAGTCCCCTCTAAATGGTCATGTAAAGTTATCCTTAAAAGTGAGCAAGTGGGACATCTGTAATACTTTCAACAATAAGATAAATTTTTTAAAAAGTGACAGGGTGTTCTCTGTCCTGCATCTTATAAAAGCACCCTCTCCGATATTTCTTATGGATACGGAGGTCCGAGAAGAGGGTAGGCTAAGAACATTGTAGTCCGGTGGCCTGGGATGCTGGTCTGCCCTTCGTGAGGTTTACACTTGCATTCAACGGTGGGGAGAGGGGCCTGGAGTTCCATATCCTTGACCCCGGCATCTAGATTCTAGAGAGTTTGGCACAAAGTAGGGGCCAGCGAACACTTTTCGAATGCAAGGAGGCAGCTGACGCTCTCGGATGGATTGGGAGGGAGTTAGAGGGACACCTTTCCAACTCAGGCCAAAGCAACAAGGCAAGATGTAGCCCTTCTCAGATAAACTACACTGAAGACCCTCTAAACATCAAGAAGTGTCTGGTTGAGATGGAGGGTTGGGCAAAGAAGCTGGCTAGATGGCAGGGAGCTGGGGCTCACTTCGTGTGATTTCCTATTTCTAAGCCTCAGTTTTTCCATCTGTTAATGGTCAGAGTTCATTCCTTCCTTGTCTCATGGGCAATGGTGTGGATGCACGAATGATAAGGGATGGGAGCATTTTAAAGTCAAGCAGACAGGAGACTAGGTTTTTAAAAGGATGAAGGCTTTGGCTTTGCACAAAAGGCTCCTCAGCTTCCTCTCTCCCTAGGGGAGTGTGAGTTTCCTAGGAAAAGAGGCAGTAACAAAAAACTTCAAGCCTGGAGTGACCCTTAAGGGACCTCTTCCAGCCTCCCAGGACAGAGATCCCCTACTGTCCAACCCCGCATTGTCCTCTCCAAGCCTCACCCTTGTCTCCCTTGTCCCCTGGGGTTCCAATCATCATCAAAGAAGCGCTGGCTCCCACGCCACTTCTTCAAACTGTTTACTAACACACCCACGTGCCAGACAGACACTGCTGGGGGCTACACTGGCAGCTTCAGCCCGAGAAAGGGGGAGGTGGCCGAAGGGCTTGCGAAGATCCAGTGCCTGACCTCAAACAGCGGCAGAGTTTTGGCCACCCATGGGGTGCCCCCCTCCACACACACCTCCTGATCAGCCCGGGGCAGTCCTTACCCGAGTCGCTAGGGCTCTCGGACCCCGAGCAGGCCTGGGTCTTGGGCTCGCCCAGTGGACAGGGGGCAGCGGGCACCGGGTTGCCGACTTCGAGGCTGGGAGCGCAGTCCGGGGCGGCGGGCAGCTTCGGCGGGTTCCCCCGGGGCGCGCCCGTGGCGAGCCGGTCGCTCACCGCTCTCTCCAGCCGCTCCCGGGCTGAGAAGCCGCTCCACATGCAGTCACGGCGGATGATGGAGGCGTAGTTTCTGCCCCAAGCTTTCGAGTGGCCCCGGGATTCTGCCTCATCCCCGGCGCCCCCTCCGGGCCACGGCTCCGGGGGACCAATTCCAGGGGCCGGGTCCCCGGCGCCGGGACCCGAGCCCCAAGGCGGCGACGTGGGAGGCGACGGCACCAGCTCGAATTTCTTCCAGATGTCCTCGCTGGGCGCCGTGGAGCGGTAGAAATCCTCCCCGCAGTCATAGTCGTAGAAATAGTGCTGGTACGAGTCGAAGTCCATGTCCGCTCCCTGAGAGAGGGAAGGGGGACGTGCTGATTGGGGTACGGGCCCAGGGAGGGAGGCGTTCCCGGATTCCCAAGCACAGCCGGCTGCAAGGCTCTACCCCTCCCGAACCTCTGGGCTTGGAACCCACGCCCTTCCCTCGCGTCCCGGGAAGCCCGGTGCTGGGTCAGCGAGCCCGGGGAAGCCGCTCACAGAGCGCGGACGCGGCTGCAGGAGCGAGTTCAAAGCAAACTTTGCCAGCGCCGCCCGGGGCGCAGCTCCCAGGGCCCAGCCGTGCCGGGCGGGGGCGCACTGTGCCCAGAAGGCAGCCTGCAGCCCGCCCCCCGGGACCCGTGCCCGTCCCCAGGCGGCCCCTAGTCTCACCTCGCTCCGGCCGCCCGCCACCGGGAGCGGACCCGCTCGGGGCCGGCTCGGGGCAGCCCGGCAGCCCGCACACAAGCACATGCGCGCCACCGAGCGCGCGACCCGCATCCAAGAGCGCGCCCCACGCGCGCCCGCTCTCCCTCGCTCGTGCACGAAGCCCCCAGACGCTACCGGGATAGGCGCGGGAGCGCGAGATGCAGGCGCATTGTTTCCCGGCTGCCTTATATCTCGTCGCGCGCTCTAGGCTCCGGGACCCGGGGGCGGGCCCTACGGGACAAGCCCCTCCTCCTATTCGCCCCCTCCCCGCAGTCGACAGGTGGGGACTTGGAGTCTCCGCCCCACCCCTGCTGGCTGCTTTCTGCGGCTCCATTAGTCCCCGTACCCCACAAATAAATTGCACGCGGGGGAGGGCAGGGCAGGCGGCAAGCTGATGCAGCCCGGCGGTCGCCTGGTGGGGGCGTGACTCTTCCCCCAGACCCAGACGGCCCCTGCAGACCGAACGAAAACGGCGATCCTGGCCCGCTCCGGGCTGGGAACGAGGGCTACTCCCCGCCGCGCCGCGCCCCGCCCTGCCCAGCCCCGTGAGTCTGCTTCCCAGGCCTCGCCCAGCCTAGTTCAGGTGCGTCTGGCCCGCGGGGGGTGAGGTGGGGAAGCCCTCGCACCTACACCGCGCCACCTGGCGGCCCGCACTCCCGCACTGGGGCTGGTCCCCAGCATCTGCGTCCTCACCCGTTGACCGGTTTCTTTAGTTCGGTGTTACAGACCTGGGCCCCAGCGAAACGAGGTGGTGAAGATTCCGGACTTTGGAGCCTGAAACTTCACTTTTTTTTTTCTTTTCAATCCTCACTCGAGGATATTTTTCCATTGATTTTTTAGAGGGAGTGGGAGAGAGAGGACAAGACACAGAGAAATATCGATGTGAGAGAAACACATGGATTAGTTGTGTCCTGCACCTACGCCACCCAGGGCCCTGCACGGGAGGAGTCTGCAACCAAGGTACGTGCCCTTGACTGGGATCAACCTGGGACCCTTTGGTCCGCAGGTGGATGCTCTATCCACTGAACCGAAGTTCACTTTTCTGTGCCTCAGTTTCATCTACAAAATGAAGGGACAGTAATACCTCACAGAATTGCGAGTTTTTAAGAAGATAAGGGTATCTAGAGAAGGGAATCAGGCCAGGAGGGGAGGCCAGCAGAACAGAGCCCCTGGTGCGGTGGTCAGGAGGATAATTTTCCCCCAGGGCCAGGCCACGCTGAGGCCTCTCCCTTACACCACACACAAAATACTCTGTAGGAGTTGTAGTATTAGAGGAAAGAATGGGGATTTGGCATCTGGAAACTGTTCAAGCTCTTACTTTGCTACTTGCTAGCTGTAGAGCCAAAGACATGTGAAGGCCTCTGTCTGCTCACCTGTAAAATGGGAACATTGCTTGCAGCTGCCTCTCTGGCCAAGATGATGGACACGTAAACCCTTTATGTCATCTTACATGTAGACTACCTTCGGTAAAAGAGGAAAAGCCGGACTATACAGTTATTCTATTGAGACCAAGGAAAGTAACTTGGAATAGCTGCCAATTAATCTAGAATGCTTCACCTGGCATTCAAGGTCTTGTCTCTGTCTGCAAGCAGCAGCCTGATGGCCTGCTGTCTGTGTCTTTCCCTCCCACCTCTGCCGTCTAAGAACAACAACTACTCACTGTTGGCATCCCAGCAGAGAGAAAGGAGAAGTACAGGTAGTTCCGTGTCGTTGGAACATGGGACACACGGTGTGAGTTGATATATGAGTTGGTAGGAGGCAGGAAAGATGATCCCCTCAGCTTTGGATATGTTGGGTCTAAGGTGTATGTGGGACATCTTTGAAAGCTGCAACTAGCTCTTACTAGCTTTGTAACCTCAGTACCTGGAAGGTATTTATGAACTTACTGATTCAGCCAACCAGATATTATTGAGACAGCCTGTGTGCCCTACTTTGTGCTAAACAGAGGCACAGATCAGGGAAAATTCAGGTCTGGTTGCAGCCCTGAGGCAGAAGGATTGGAAATGTCTTTTGGAGACTTATTCTCTGGTCCATAAAAATGTCTGAAGTGGTTGATGTACCAGAGTTCTTGGTTACAAATGACAGAAACTAACCCTGGTTAAATTTAAGCAGAAAATCACTTTATTGGAAGGATTTTGAGTTTAGAATCCATAGGAAGCTGGGGAATCTATGCTTGGAATATGAGTCTTATTTCTTTATCTAGACAAGAGTCCTTACTCAACAGCCCCTCTCCGTGATTCATTGTAGTAGGTGCTATCTGGGGGCAGCCAGGAGATGACTCTACCTCAAGAAATAGGATACAGTAAATTGTCTGAGAGGCTGTTCCTTCACTTTGCGCTCTGTTTGATGTTGGTCTTCCTTACCAGACTATAAACTCAATGAGGGCAGAGACAGATATCAGTCTGGCCCGTGGGGGGTGGGCAGGGCAGGCGGCAAGCTGTAACTTAGAACAGAGTCTGGCACATCATGGGTGTTTTGTAAATGTGTTGCCTGTTTGACTGGACCTACATCTCTAATGCTTTAAACTAGAAATGTGTCAGCTTCCAGTGGTAAGGTCTGGGGAAGGGGTAGTAGGCCCATGTCTCTTCATCATGAAGGTGGCAAGAAGACAGGCCTGGGCCCGGCCAGCAGTTGAGCTCACTGGTTTGATTCCTAGTCAGGGCACATGCCCGGGTTGCAGGCTTGATCCCCAGTAGGGGGAAGTGCAGGAGGCAGCTGATCAATGATTCTCATCATTGATGTTTCTGTCTCTCTCTTCCTCTCCCTTCCTGTCTGAAATCAATTTTTTAAAATATTAAGAAAAAGAATAAGAAGCTCCTGAAGCAGCCCAAGAAGCAGGCCAAGGAGATGGATGAGGAAGGTAAGGCATTTGAGCAGAAGCAAAAAGAGGAGCAGGAGAAACCCGAGGAGCTAAAAGTGAAGGCCACAGGGAAGGGTGCCCTGACCACAGGTGGTATTAAGAAATCTGGCAGTCCTAGCCGGTTTGGCTCAGTGGATAGAGCGTCGGCCTGCGGACTGAAAGGTCCCAGGTTCGATTCCGGTCAAGGGCATGTACCTTGGTTGCAGGCACATCCCCAGTGGGAGGTGTGCAGGAGGCAGCTGATCGATGTTTCTCTCTCATCAATGCTTCTAACTCTCTATTTCTCTCCCTTCCTCTCTGTAAAAAATCAATAACATATATCTAAAAAAAAGAAAGAAAGAAAGAAATCTGGCAGCCGAAACCGGTTTGGCTCAGTGGATAGAGCGTCGGCCTGCGGACTGAAAGGTCCCAGGTTTGATTCCGGTCAAGGGCATGTACCTGGGTTGCGGGCACATCCCCAGTGGGAGGTGTGCAGGAGGCAGCTGATCGATGTTTCTCTCTCATCAATGCTTCTAACTCTCTATTTCTCTCCCTTCCTCTCTGTAAAAAATCAATAACATATATCTAAAAAAAAAAAAAAAGAAAGAAATCTGGCAGCCGAAACCGGTTTGGCTCAGTGGATAGAGCGTCGGCCTGCGGACTGAAAGGTCCCAGGTTTGATTCCGGTCAAGGGCATGTACCTGGGTTGCGGGCACATCCCCAGTGGGGGATGTGCAGGAGGCAGCTGATCGATGTTTCTCTCTCATCGATGTTTCTAACTCTCTATCTCTCTCCCTTCCTCTCTGTAAAAAATCAATATAATATATTTTTTTAAAAATCTGGCAAATAAATGGTGATGGGAAAGGAAAATAAAATAGAATAAAAAATAAATGAATAAAAGTACATTTTTATAAAAGAAGACGGAATCTGGCAAGGGCTCTCCCTCTCAGGAGCATGCCTGCGCCCGTCCGCTTCCCCCCCGCCGCCCCCCCCAGTCACATTACCTGTACCCTTCTCTCTCCTAAGCTCCAAGGGCCCCTTCTTTTGCCTCTGTAACTTGTTTCCAAAGCCCATTTCTTCTATGGCTCACTTCTTCTACCTCTGTGACTTTCTAAATAAACGTTCTCTTATTAAAAAAAAAAGAAAAAACATGCCCTGGCCGGTTTGGCTCAGTGGATAGAGCGTCGGCCTGCGGACATAAGGGTCCCAGGTTCGATTCCGGTCAAGGGCATGTACCTTGGTTTCGGGCACATCCCCAGTAGTGGGTGTGCAGGAGGCAGTTGATTGATGTTTCTCTCTCATCGATGTTTCTAACTCTCTATCCTTCTCCCTTCCTCTCTGTAAAAAATCAATAAAATATATATAAAAAAAAAAAGAAAAAACACCTATGGATTCTTTTATAAAATCACCCCCGGGATTCAGGGCTCCGTTCTCCTGGCAGTTTGCTAATTTTGCGTAGCGATTAGTACTGACTTCTCAAAACGGGCTATCCCAATACAGTTCGAGAATGTCCCACGTAGTTCCTCAGAGGTCATGGATAACCCTGTGCTTTTTTATTTCACACTGGAAGAGGAGGAACTTGAATAATTACTAAATTCCCAATCGGAGTGGTCTGGAGGAAGACACAGTAATCTGAAACTAGACATTAATTCAAGCCCTTCCTGAGACTGGGCAGCAAAGAGCCAGGATATGCCTTATTTTAAAATCTGTCCTACCTCTTCACTGACCACACAGGCCTGGGCCACATGGTCGTCTCTTGCAGCCAATCCAACTGTGAGCAGCAGATGGGATCATTTGCATTTTTCTTCTTATATTTTCTTTGACAGGCAAATTAAAGGGTTTTTTTAATTAAAAAAAAAAGAAATCTGGCAAAAGGTGAGCTGTTCCTTGTGCCTGGTGATCCTTCATTCCATTCCTGTTTGTTTGTTTGTTTGTTTTGTTTTGTTGTTTTTAATAGTTTATTGATACTTAGAGAGAGGAAAGGAGAGAGAAGCATCGAAGTATTTTTATTGATTTCAGAGAGGAAGGGAGAGGGGGAGAGAGATAGAAACATCAATGATGAGAGAGAATCATTGATCGGCTGCCTTCTGCATGCCCCACGCTGGGGATTGAGCCTGCAACCTTGTCATGTGCCCTGACCAGGAGTTGAATCATGACCTCCTGATTCATAGGTCAATGCTCAATGACTGAGCCACGCTGGCTGGGCTTACAAATTTTTTGTAAGAGCAAAACATCAATGAGCTGCCTCCTGCACACTTCCTATTGGGGATCAAGCCTGAAATGCAGGCACATGCCCTGACCAGGAATCAAACTGGCAACCTTTTGGTTCACAGGACAATGGCCAACCAACT